CATCGTGACCATAAACCAATTTGTATGGAGTTATTTTTATAGAATCTTTTAGAGATTTTCTATAAGATCATAATACTTGAAGTAACGTCTCATGCCAATTTTTAGGCTTATCTCCAATATGTTTTTTAATTAAATTTATCAATACTTTATTAATCGCCTTCACTTGTCCGTTAGCTTGAGTATAATAAGGGGTTAACTCTAACAATATAATGTTTCTCCATTTGTCCCTTGATCAATTGATTTTGCCTCAGGAATCCTAAATTGATATATAATATGTTCATTTATAAAATCAATCACATCTCTTTGATCAACATCTTTTAAAGGCCTAGTATCTACTATTTTAGTAAAATAATCAACTACCACGGTAATATATTTATGACACTTAGGTATTTAAGTAAAACATCTAGATTTCATATGTTGAAATCTATTCAAATAATCATTGATATTTTTATTGTGATATCTTTTCACATTCATTAGATCAATTAAACTAACTTGTGTTTATCCCCTAAAAATCTTTTCATTAAAATTTATTTCTAATTAGGCCCAATTATATATTAAATTCAAGGGAAGTGTTGTAAACTAAGTAAAAATATTGTTTGTTAAGGATTTAGGAAATTTCATTCTCTTAATTTCATTCGTGAAGATTTTTCCACATTCGATCTAATACCTAACAATATGTTCTACAGTAGATTCCCCAATATAATAAGAGAACTTTGTTAATTTCAATATTTTAAATCCTCGAGGTAGCTTGGCTTCAAGAAAAAAATTAGAAAATGGTGAAATAAAATAAGGTTGATTATATAATCTCACTCCTACATCTTATTGATTATTCCATTGTCACATTATGTATTATATTGCTCATTATTTTGATTATACATATTATCCATCATATTGCCTCCATAATCATTATCTCTCCTCGCATTATTCCACATTTGTAAAATTTGATCAACATTCTAACCTTCTCTAATCATTTGAACCTTTCTCATTTGATTATTTTGTTTTGTTGATTACTTTGATCTCGATTTTCATTTGAATTATTTCCCACTTGTTCATTATTCTCTAAGTTCTTTCAAAGAATAACTAAAGCATCCTTGATTGTAGCCATTTGTTCCACTAGTCTTGGAAAACTATCAGTCATAATTTGGACCAAAGGATTCAGGATTATGGTCATTTGTTGTGACAACAAGTTTAACATTTCATGATTACTATCGTCCATCCACTTCCTTATCACTTTTAAGGAACCGTTAGATATTCTAATACTTACATTCTCGAAATGGATATTATTCCTCCCAAATTCTCTATCAAAACCTAACCAAGTTTGATTTTGGTTTCGATTGTTCATTCTACTCGAATGGAGGCATGCCCCAAGGATATCTCTTTACTAGTGATAGACCCTAATTATTTTGTTGTACGGAAGAACTAGTCACATTCATATTGTTCCCTCCCAAATTTATAAAATGTGTATTTTTTGTTCTCGTGTTCATATGAGGTAGGCATGGCAACGGGGCGGGGGCGGGGGCGGGTTTTGCCTCCCCGATCCCCGTCCCCGACTTTTTTAACCATCATCGTCCCCGCCCCCGCTCTCGATCTTCGCCAGGGTTAGAAATTAAGTTCGTATCCCCGTCTCCACTGGGTTTCGGGTTCCCCACCCCCACCCCGTCCCAGATTTATATTATTTTTAAAAAGATAATTACATTTATAATAAATTAATTTTACTATGTATTTTTTATATATAAATAAATATATTATAATTTTATAATTTATAATTATTAATAATTAAATATATATTTTTTAATTTATTATATTTATATTAAAATATGTATGTAAAAGAAATATTTAATCATTTTTTATTTATATATATATATATATATATATATAATAAACATTATTATTATTATTATTATACTTGTATCCAAATATTTGAATACTTATAACATTGTTATTATTATTATAATACTGTATTCAAACATTTGATTATATATATAAGTTAATTCATTTCTAAGTTGTCATTTAAAAATATGAAATATATAGTTTATAAAAAAATATTTAATAAGTTAATTTTTTTTAATTAGTTCGAAGTAATAAAATTTTAAATTATCAATTCCTTTTAATATTTTAAAATATAATTATTTTATTAAGATAAAATTTGATATATGATAAATAAGAATAATAAGATAAAAAATTATGACATAATAAAACCTAATAAGTATAAATTATAAATAAAATAATATTAGTTATTACTAAGATTTATGTAAAATATTTAGAAAAAGATAAAGAAAAAAAAACTAACTTTGTGTTCATCAAATTGGTTGAAAAGATTAAAAAAAAATTGATGGGAGAGATTAAGAAAATGTGAAAAACAGAAAGGTAAGAGAGAGAATAATGTAATAAATTAATTGATATAAAATATTAAAAAAGATAAAAAAATTAAAAAGTGGGTAGAAGAAAAATAAAAATGGTGAAATATAAAAAAATGACCTATACTTTTAAAATATTAATATTTTAAAATTTAAATTTAAATATAAAGTCGGGGCGGGACGGGGTCGGGTTGGGGATTGCAATACCTATCCCCGCCCCTGACTTTTTTAAAGCGGAGAAAACTCAAACCCGCCTCCGCCCCCGGTCAACTTGGGTTTTTCCCATCAAACTCGGGGCGGGGATGGGTCGGTCCCCACCGGTACGGGTTTAATTGTCATCCCTAATATGAGGTCTTGCATAGGTAGTCACTAGACTACTTACTCTTTATATCACAAACATCCCTGAGTACCATGAGTACTCAGGATATTATGTTCGCTTGGAGAGTGAGAATGTTGCGTTCAGTTGTTAGGGCTATAACAACGTTATGATTCCTGTGTTTTGCCCTCCCTTATTTGGATTTGGATTGGTTGTCCAAACACGATTACAAAATTAAGTGTAGAAGTCTATGTATTTTGACTTAACATGATAATTTTGCCACTTCTCATACTCATGCACCATAACAACACTCTAAAAATAATTAACTCAAGTGTACATAAATCACATTGAGTCCCACTAAGCGTGTCATTTTGTTTTTAGCGAAAAATGGTTCAATATAAACCACTTGTCACTTGTGGGTTCTTTTTATTTAGACTAGCAAATAATGATTTTTCAATTTAGACAAGTGTTTTAATCCAGCCAGAAATATAAGAACATTGACTAAGTTTCTAGAAACAAGGGACGAAAGTTAAAGGAAGAAATTCTTAAAAATGAGAAAATGTAAATTACTGGACAAAGTAAATTGCTAAAACATGTAAATTACTAGAAAGAGTAAATTCCGAGAAACATAGATTGTTGGAAAATGTAAATTATCAAGGATAAAATAGAAACTAGTACAGGAAATCAATAAAAGTGGTACTCAAATTGTCAAGAACTCCATTAAAAAGCTTTTATCTTGTTGGCTACACTTCTTCAGAATGCAAGTTTCTTAATACAATTTGTCACATCTTTTTCACTTATTTGATCCTACTTATATTTATTATTTTTTGCAAAAACTAAGAAAATAAAATAAAATAAAGATAATAAAAAATGATTTCTTTTCCTATTAATTGTTTTTGCCCCTTTTGAGTAGTCCAATTAGTACAGGTGGTATTATAATTGTTTCTGTAAAATCATGAAGTTATAATCGCCCTGCATTTCCCTCAATTTTATAACTCCTTTTCGATATATTTCTTATCTTTCTCACTTCTTTGATTTTACTCTATCTTCTGATTTTTCGATTTTCTCTTTTTCTCCTTTCTTGATGCCCTTAATCTTTCTCGATATGTAGTATTCAATATCTTATCTTTCTACTACCTTTAATATTTAATTTGTTCAATCATCCTCTATCTTTAATATTTCAATCATTAGTCCCTATTTTTAACTTCAATATTTTCTTAGCTCATTCTTTCAATTCATTTGTAAATATGTCTATAACACATAAAAAGAGTTATTATTGAGTTGAAAAATCTTTCTTTAAGACTTCTTTGTTTGATTATAAAATCATTCTCTGGGTGTAAAAGAGAAACATATTCTTTCACCTAAATTTTCTTCTTTTGGTGTGCTTCTTGTGTGACTATTCTTGGATAAGGTTTCTAGATTTAGTGTAGAAATAGGGTGTTATTAGGTTACAAATTTAATCTTGTGGGATTCATGAGTTATTTCTTATGCATATTAAATAGGTTACGTGTTTGTAAAACATTGTTTTTAGTGTGAGCTTAGTCGATGTGGTTGGGCAACTAGATATGATTCTTATAAAAATTTACGTACATTTCTTCTTCAATCCCTCTTTATTGTTGTATTTGCACATTAGACTTGTTCTTGAATATTTTTGGTTCAAAAAAAGTCTTGTCAAACACAATTGAATCCTAAAATTGATTAAACTAATAAAGTTTTATTACACACTTTAAAAATTTGAGATAGTTCAATTAATCCCTTTTTTTAAACTGTATCCTTTTATTCTAACAATTGGTATTAAAAACTGATCCTATTTTTTTGAAAATGGTTAAGACCAAGCTTCCTTTGGTTGAAGATGCATCTATTAATATATCACTTATGTTTAAAGGAGTTAACTATTAATTTTCATATGTTAGAATAAAAATCTTTATTAAACTATTAATAAAGGGATCTTAGATGTCATAAATAAATAGATAGTGCTAATCAATATTATATATGACAAAAAAAATTATAAAATATAATAGGAGAGACTATTATTAATATATAAAAACGATTTACACTTGATTGAGTTATATATATATATATATATCACATAAATCGCATCGATGTTCCTTTCAATTATTGACCTCTTCATGGTGATACTTCAATTTTTCTACTTTCCCTCCATATGTTGTTACCCTCGGAATCTTCCCACTCGTCAAAAGATAAAATGTTGAAAACAAAACCCAGCATTGTAAGTTTCAAAATGTTTAATTTAAAGAAAAAAAAAAGAGTTAAACTTTGGACTTTCTAATTGAACCAACCCCACAAACATCATTGGTCATTTGGAGTATCCGATTCTTCACAAAAGTGCAGGGTCGTGTCGATCAAAATATTCTTCACAACCTTCATTTTGTTGGGCACTTTCCAAATATCTTACCCTTTTGAAAAAGTTTTCAGAGATTCAAGAGTATATACTCATTCCATTAAAACTATGGCACTTTTCTTCGACATTGCTCTTTATTCATCATAAATATTTAAAAACATATGAAGATTAATGAGTACATCACTTTACATTAAAAATGAGTTTGTGAAGAAAGAAAATACAAATACCCTCCTTCCATCTTAATATGTTTTAAAATATTTTTACATACTTCTGTGGAACTGATTTTCGAATTGAGTACTTTTAATTAGAATATTATTTTTAGGACAATATAATAAAGAATGTAATTAATCCGTTATAATTTTAAAAAGACACAGTTTATTAAATTGTAGTGTATTTCAATTAATGTTATTAAAATGTTTCATATTTTTATGCCAATTTTTTTAAGGATTTTCTATAAATTTGTATTAAAAAAAACAATTGTTAAAAAAACCCATTAAATATAAAAGTTTTTCTAGTCGATTAAGTTTTCACAATAAGTAAAGAAATAAAACACCCCTTACTTTTTTTTAATATAATTTAAAAATGATATATATAAATAACTTCATTACATTTTTTTTTCTTTATTTTGGACTAGATGCATTTTTTTCAACCTTATATTATTTTACCATAATTAAATATTTTTAAAATTAAGCAAAGTTGGTATTTTATAAATTTTTTCCGGTATAAAACTATTAAATTCTTGTTTTCTATTTAAATATTTAGATACTTCTGAAATATAAAATGATTTTAACAGTTTAACCACTTAAGAAATTTAGTCGAATTAGTTTTGTTAATTTGGAAGATTTTTTGTACTATATTTATATATATGATTTTCATTTGAAGATAAAAATGACAATTGTTTTGGGTGAAATTTGCTATATTTGGTTGAAGAGTTGAGTAGAAAAATATTTTAAAAAATTTAACTGATTTCGTGAAAATTTTGAACATAACTAAAATTTTTCTTTGAGACTTACCAAGAAATTTGTTTAAGAGAAAGATAAATTTTCGTTAATTTTATAAAAAATATTAATTAACAGACAAAAATTAAAATATAAAAGCAATCAAACTTTTTCTTTCGTAAAAAGTTATAAATGTTTGTATAATTCACGAGAAATCTTGGTGACACTTAAGAGAGGATCCCATATTTCAATAATGAATTACAATCTATTTTTCATTTTATTATTTATTTTTTAATAATTTAACGACTGAATTATAATTCTAAATCATCAAATTACTAAATAAATAATAAAATAAATAAATTTAAAAATTTTTCTCTCTATTAAAACATCATATCCTAAATAAAAAATATTCCTCTCAAATAATTAAAGTTATAGTTGTCCTATACATAGAGCCCCTAACCTACCATGAACACAGTCTTCTAAACAATATCACCAAATTCATGGCTACGCATACCTATAAATTCACCTGCAACAATCAAATGAAAACATTAGAAGAAAATAGGACAAGAGTTTTAGGTTCAACACTAAACTTCAATTAGGGTGAATGAAGAATATACTTGTTGTTTTTTAAAATATAATCAATAAAATTATATGATAGTGACTACTTTTTTATTTGCACAAAAATTTATTAGTTTTACCAGTTCCAAAAGATAAAATAACCCTTAGTTTTATATAAAAAATAATTATTTTAGAAATTTTTAATATGTTTCCATTTCATTCCAATATTTTTTTTTCTTTTGATTCTTTAATTAATCTCTCAAAAACATTGGTTAGTAAGACCAAATATAGTAATTGTAGAAGATGCAAGAGTTCAGTCTTGCTAAAATGAAGCTCCCAAGAAGTTTTCAAAAGCTTATATAAAAGATGTATAAAAAGCTCATATCAGTGATGAGTTGTGTTGTGGTGGGGACAACAATCAAACAAAATTATTCAAATGCTTACTTCTAAAAAGACAAACAGTGACCAAGATTTTTAGAGAGATTATTAAAATCTTCAACCATCGTTTCTTCCTCTTTGGCTACTTTCATTCACCTGTGTCAATGGAACAACTTTGTCTACAAACTATCATGGCCTTTTTCATTTAAACTTTTTTTTTAATCCCCACGAATTCATCATCTTTATACTACTTTTCTCACATTTTTAGTAAAAGTTTATGTTTTAAATTTTCCAACATTTTCCTTCTTTTTTTACGTAATTCATGTGGAAGATTAAGAAAGGATTAGCACATAAGAAGACGTTATTAGAAGGAAACTTTCCAGAAACTTCTCTATCATGTATGCGTTCTAGATTAATCTAAGTTTTGATGAATGAAACTACAATATATATGTTCATGACCCATTTAGAAAAGAGTTAATTTTGACCCAATAACCTAATAATTTTTACTCTAAGACAAAAATTGAAAATAAGATAAGTTTTAAATATCATTTCACGTGAAAATTTTAATATAAAATTAATTTACAATATATAAAATAGTCTAACAAATATTTAAATAACCGACTTTAAAATATATATATATATATATATATATATATATATATAATATTTTCTTATTTTTTTAACTCAAAAATATTCTTTTTAATATTTTACGAAGCATAACTCATAACTTCAATTTACATCTTTTAAAATTCTACAAAAAACATTAAAAAAAAAGTGTGTAGATTAAATTTAAGAAGTGAAGTTATCAACAAATAACAAGAAACTGGTTTGATTGATTTGGTCATTTTAAATATGATTTTAGATTCAGGAACTAAATGTTTGTTTTAGGTAAAAAAATTAACAATAACAATTTTACAAATCTAAAGTGTTTTTGTTTTAGGAACAAAATTACTTAATATTAGTAATATTTTTATAACAACCGATTTAATATTGATTTTTTATAACAATTAATAGAAAAAAGTTTGTTAATATAATTTTTTTATTGATTTAAATGAATTGATATAAAATATAATTTATTATTGTGGATTGTAAAATTAAATTATTATTATTATTATTATTATTATTATTATTATTATTATTATTATTATTATTATATATATATATATATATATAGTCGTTTGTACTTATAATTGTAAAATTAACATAAAAAAATTATAAAAAACTGACATAAAAAAATGTCTTATGTATATTTATGATACTTAGTATACTATCATGGTAAGTAAAACTTATTATTGATTTAAGAAATTGGTATGTTAGTCTTATTTTTGTAATGTTAATCGTTTTTCTATTATTCTCTTCCATTTAAAATATAACTACTATCATTGATTTAATTTATTTATTATATATTAATTGAATATATCAAAGGTTCTTCATTCTAAATTTATGAATTTTAACAAATAGTAGTTTAAAGTTTATTAGTCTCTAAATATGTTTATTCTGATCCAAGTTAGACAAAAGGTCACATTCTTGATCTTTTGCAGTATTAATGCTTATTGTACTAAAATATGCTATGAAAATTGACTCTTCTCACACTCTTTGTTTCAAACAACTAAATATTGTAAATTAATTAGTTCAGTTTACAAGATTTGACTGTAATCCACGTGAGCAAAGTTTTTTTGTTTTTCTTTTTCATTACAAATAAAATTAATTACATTTTGTACTAAATATATTAATGTAACGCATTATTTTGAAGACCAGACACGACGGGCTGATTTAAAATTAGTCGTTCATTTCTTTTCAATAATTAAATTTTAATTAATTAAAAAATAAAATAAAATAAAATTAGTATAAAATCGAATAGAATTTTAGATTGAATTGATTTTAATAAAAAAAAATTAAGACCAATTTTTTAATATTTATAAAAGATATAATATAATTTTTTTTATCTAATATTAGTTATATTAATTTTAAATAATAATGATGAATAAACTGTCACTTTTTAATTTTACTTATCTCTTCTTTAAATTTTATTAATGATTTTGTTCATTGTCTTTAAAAACTAACTATTGGTTTTTTATTTCATTAAAAACGTTTTATTTTGTATTTAACAATATATTGTTATTATTTTTATTTCTCTAAATGATTTCATAAAAAATAATTTTTCAAATATAGGAAACTATTAGTGATATTTTTATATGATAAAGTAATGAAACTTTAACTTTCAAGATAAATTTGTAAGTTTATTATAATATAGTTAATGCATTAAATTATTTTTTATTTATTATGATTTTAATTACATAAAAATATTGTAATAACTTATGAGTAAAAAGATAAATATATATTTTATTAAAACTGAAATTACTCAGAAATTATCTAACAACAAATATTATTATAATTATTCTATCAATGAGTTTCGTATTATTAAATATTTAAAATTTTAATTTAATTTTCAATAAGAATTATTGAGATCATTTAATAATTTTTATTATTAATAGGTTAAATGTGACATATATGGTGTTTTACGTGAAAGCAGAGTGGAGAATGTTAGGGATTTTATAGGAAGTTATTTGAGTAATTTTTCAACACATAATAATTATTTTGAAATATTACTTCTCATAATAGATTATATCTCAATTCTTTTAAAATATTATTTTTTGATTATTTTAATAATAAATAATTAAATGAAAATATTAAATAATAAATAAATTTATTAAATTAATCAAATCAATTTAATCTTTCATAACTTTTTCATTTATTTTTCGTTATTTTCCACTTTATTTTGGTAATTCAATTTTTACTTTCTTTTTCTTTCTTTTCTTTTTTTCATTTCAAATTCACTCTTGAATCTAAACATAAAGTTAATTTATTTTTCATATACTTATATTTACTTTTTTAATAATATTTTAATATTATAAATTATATAATATAATTTTTATAGAGATGAGATATCCATATTGATTAAAAATAAAATAAAATACTAGGCATATTAATTTCATGATAACTATTTATGGTAAAGAGTTATCTACTTTGTTAAGCTTTTAATAATAATAAATGATTGTAATTAATAAACATTCAATACATAAATATTTATTGATATTTAATATGTTTTTGAAGAGTCCAGTTACATTTATTGGTTGAACTCAAATAATGATATTTGTTATATGAACCATATAAAAATGCTCTCATTAATTAATATTTTAACTTGCCTTTTATCAAAATATTATATCAATAAAAAAAGTAGTGCATCAAGTAATGCTCTCATTACTGAATATTATACCAAAGTGAGTTATTCTTTTGTTTCATATGAATTTTATTTAAATAATTTAAGATAAATATAAAATATATTTTATTATTCAAAATATTGTTTATATGAAATATAATTTTTAATATAATCTAGTCATTGTTAAATAAATATTGATTCTATATGTAACTCATGGGCCAGGTTATTAATATCTTGACAGGTATTTATGCTAAGGAGTTATCCAATGTATTAATGGTAACAAATGTATGCAATTAATAAATATTTAATACGTACTACTTTTCAAGAGTAAATAATCAATGCTTCCAAATTGAAAAAAGAATATTTCAAATCTCTAACTTATTAAAATTTTATTGATATTTAATGTCTTTTTCAGGAATCAAACTACATTATTTTTTTAATTATGGGAAAAAAACGTACTAAGTCTTAAAATAAAACTTAGAACATCTATAATTGAAACCATTTTTTTTCTTATTTTCTTTTTCTTCCAAGTGTTGAGATTAGTTTGGGTAGATTTTCAATATATTAAAAACAAAAATTAAAGTTAGTGAATCTCCAAATACACATAAGAGCATGTTCAGTCACATCTATTTAAGCACACTTTCTAAACCTACCACTGCACATTTACACTGTATTTGATTTGATAACCACTACCTTTCTTTCAAGTTATAATTTGGATATGGAATTCAAACATGGTGATAGCCAAAATTGCATCATTATCAGCACCACCATCGTGACCAAAGACTATTTCCCGCAATTCATATCTGTTAGGTATGCTCATAAGTTCATGTAATTTAGGAGTCCAATTTATTGATAATTTTAATCTATCGAACATTTGTTAAGGATAAAGCTATGATGTAAGAGAATTTGAAGATGAAAATTACCTTCAATATAAAAATTGTTTCTAATAATATTACCATAACCAACAACAAATATTCTCGTTTGTACAAGTAAGAGGTAGGTCCTGGTTGCTCACGACAAGGTGTATCTGGTTGCTCAATACAAGGTGTAGATATCTTTCACCTTTCTATTATTCAAGTTTTTCCAAATACCCATTTGTTTGCTATTTTATAAAAATCAAACTTTGTCTCACGGTTCATCTCATGTATTGTTCACTTTCTAGTGTTTGAGTTCGGACCAAGAGGTGTTCCAGTGCCTAGTGTTTTCTCAGCGATGGTGGGAATGAATTCCATGGAAACATTCCGCAGAGAAATGGAGAAAGAAGAAATACGATGGGAGGTGGAGAAGGAGGATATCAGAAGAGAAATAATGATCAGTGAGATGAGATTGGCACGACGAAAAGAGTTGGAGGAGGAAGTGAGGAAGGAGATGGCTGAAGGAGTTGTGGGAATCTCCATACAAAGACCACCCAGAATCACTTTTCCAGAACCAATTTCAATGCCTTTTAATCCAACACTGAGTCAGGTTTCCCATGATAATCTCATAACACATCATTTGAAGACCAACGACAATGATAAAGTTACAATATTGGTTAGTGTATAGTCTTATATTTAATTAAAAAATTATTTTATGATCCTTTTAGAAAAATTATATATATATATATATATATATATATGATTTTTTTATATTAATTTTCTAAGTTTGCTTTTGAGTAATTAATTTACTATTACATCAATTGTATCATCAACATGTGTTATAAATTTTCATTCAATTGAATATATGATTAAATTATAATGAAAAAGTGAAGTGTAATTTTTATTTAACAAAATTAAATTAGGCCTATATTACTTTTACTTTTTTTCTCATTTCCTGATTGATTGAAAAAAAGGTTATGTCTGATGAATATTTTATCATATTGAAGGTCTTAATTGAATAATGAGTTTATTGATTTTTATTTCTTCCATTGCAGGCTAAGTCAGATGGTGGTAGTTTGGGTCCAAAGCGCAAAGCATTGACACTTCCTATAATCGATGGCAATGAAGATGGGCCAAAGAAAGAGTAGAATTGCACATTCTTCAACATTTTTGCCACTAGTGAGAAAGGATTGAATGATCATTTTCGACGCAAAAAACATAGATCTAAAGAAGCATCTTTGAGAGTTCAGAAAATAGGTCACAACAATAAATAAATAAAAAAGAAAAAAAAAACACCATCGGTTCATTATTCTTAAGGAAATGCAAACCCTGTGTGACATATAGTAAACTTTAGTTATTTGATATAAAGAAACATCTGAATTATCATCTATTATTTAGTAAATATTTTATTTAGAAAAATATTGAAGAAAATTCCATATAAATTACCTTAATGGTCCGAATAAAGTTTATATATTTATTAGATAATTTTACTTGTTAATTAATTTTATGTTAAAATATCACATCAATCAGGAAAATATTCAGTTTAGCTTTCGAGTCTCGCATCTTAAACGCTGCACGATCATAAGCCAAAGCTATCTTCAGCAGTTGCATTGGTTCTGAGCCACACTCTCTCACCACTTCTTTTACCATCTCTTATCTCCGACGCGTACTTTCCCACGGCCTCCTCGGCACACCGCGGTAGCTCAACCCTCTCATTTTCCATTTTCACGGCTACACCAACGTTGCTCACCTCATTGCCATTAGAGGGGAACCATCCGGTGGCCGCGGCCTCACGCAAAACGGCATACATTGCCATGTCGTCGGTGTTGTCCTCCTTCAACGGCAGCTCAGCCCAATTCTCCGCTGCGAAAATGCTCGAGAAACTGAAGTTCGCGGCGGAAGCATCCTGAAACGGTGTCGTTACAGGTGACTCAAATTGGTGAGAGCCATTCACATGGGTGTCTCATGTATTAGGGCTCATCGTACAAGTTTGATTACTTTCTTAGGTTCTGTGGTTTGTGTCCATGTTTTGTATGATTTATATATAATAAATTGTTTAGATTATCTTAATAACTATTTTATAAAAAATAAAAAAGTAAATAAAATAAAATAAACCAGAAAGAAAAACAAATAATGAGTTATTTCAAATTTAAAGAGATATTTTCTTGATAACTTAAATATTCATCTACAACTATTACACTACTGTAATAATATTATTTGATATTATATTAATTTTTTAAGTTGTCGGTAGATGTATGAGCTATCAAAATATAATTTATTTAAAATTTATCAAAAGAAATTTAATAAAATAAAATCATGAGTTGTTTACTGCTTCATTGAATGTTCTTAATTTTTCATTGAATATTCTTAAGTTTTAATGTGAATTAGGGTTCACTACAAAAAATATTAAAATTACCAACGGTTAAAATCTGTCGGTAATAACAAAAATTCGTCGATAAATGAATATTACCGAGCGAATCTAATAGTCCGTCAGTAAATGTGTTACGAAATTACCGACTGAACGTGATCCGTCGGTAATAATTTTATTATTTATTAAATATTTTACTTATTTATAACATATTTTTTTTATAGAAAAACCCCTCCCAAGTATCTTAGAGTCGAGAGGTCGATACTCCAACCACTAAGCTACTAGAATTTCTTGATAACAATTTACAAATAAATTATATTTATATACAAATATACAAATATATTTATATACATTTATATATATTTATATATATTTATATACATTTATATATATTTATATATATTTATATATTTATATATATTTATATATTTATATATATTTATATATTTATATATTTATATATTTATATATTTATATATTTATATATTTATATATTTATATATTTATATATTTATATATTTATATATTTATATATTTATATATTTATATATTTATATATTTATATATTTATATATTTATATATTTATATATTTATATATTTATATATATTTATATATTTATATATTTATATATTTTTATATATTTATATATTTATATATTTATATATTTATATATTTATATATTTATATATTTTTATATTTTTATATATTTATATATTTATATATTTATATATTTATATATTTATATATTTATATATTTATATATTTATATATTTATATATTTATATATTTATATATTTATATATTTATATATATTTTATATTTTTATATATAATTAAATATTTATTTTTTAAAATTATTTAATTTAATAAATTATTATAAATTAATCTAATTATGATTAAATTAAATTATTAAATAAAAAATATTTTATTTTTTAATTAGGTGAATAATTAAATTATATTATATAATTTTACCGACGGATATATCCGTCGGTAATTAATTGTTAATTTACATATGAATTTACCGATGGATATATCCGTCGGTAATTAATTGTTAATTTCTTGACGGATTTACCGACGGATATATCCATCGGTAAATTCATATATAAATTATCGACGGATTTATCGACGGATATATCCATCGGTAATTAATTATTATTTTACCGACGGATATATCCGTCGGTAACATCAAATTCCACAAATATTTTATATCTGTCAGTAATTTCTGTCGGTAATGATTATTTTCCGACGGCTAAAAATCCATCGGTAAATATCCGTCGGTAATACGCGATTTTCTTGTAGTGGTTTGTTTGAGTTGGAATTAGTGGTTTGTTGTTGTCTGTCCCCACTTTTATTTTTATTTTTCTGTTTTCACATTATAATATTGGTCAAATTTTGAAAGGGACGAACATGAAATAATGTTAGTTTTGAATAGGATGGAAAAGGGTAGCCGTGGTTGGTTTTTTTCCATTTGTCTTAACTTCTCAAGTTAATACGTCAAGGACGGGCAGATAGAATTATTCACTTTAAAAATATATTTATAAATTAAAATTAAAATAAAAAATATTATAATTAAATATATTAATTTTTTTACGCTATTAAAATTTATAAATATATTATAATATTAAAATTTAAATTATAATACAGATATTTTTCTGTCTTAAAATTTATTTATAAAACTAATAATATTTTTTAAATTATATATATAAATTATTAGTAAACTGGTTTGACAGCTCATCTTTTATAAAACAGATTAAAGTTTGTAGTTCATTTGATTAAAATAGATTAATCCGTTGTTTCTATTCTTTATAGATAGAGGTGAAACGGACTTACCTTTTTTTCTAATTTTTAAAATAAACATTATTATTAAACTTTTTGAAAAAAAAATTTCTGTGTTCTAAATATAAAAATATAAGATAAAAAAGAATATAAGAAAAATAAGGAGTCTCTAATTTCAACGTATTTTTATTCTTTTTATGAATAACAATAACAAAACTAAGAGTTGGATTTATTTAGTAGTCTTACTAAAGAAGTATGATTTATTCCAGTTTATTTTCTGTATATATTTGCTAATATCCCAATTATGTTTTGCTAATTGTAATTCTTTTAGTCGATCTAACATTTTTATTTGCTTAATTAATATAAACAATGCAATGTACATTTTTTTTCTATCATCACTAAAAAAAGATAAAAAAATATATATTGAAAAATCTGTTCACGAATTATTTTAATTTAATATTTTTTATTTTACATTTATAATAAAGTTATCAGACCTTCAATTGGTTTGACTAGAGACTTATTTAGAAATTTGTCTGGTATTTTTAAATAATTAAATTTTAATTAAATTAAGATAAAATATAAAAAATCAAGATAAAAACAAAAAAACTGAATGAATTTTTAACTTAAATTAATTTTGTAAAAAAATATTAAAATTAATATTTTAAATATAATTTTTATAAAAATATAATATATTTTAATTTTTTATTTCATATTAATTACAAAATTTTAAATAATAATTTTTATATCATATTTTTATCTTATTTCAATCATTATTTATTTTACATTCTTTACTATATTATATATTTATAATTTTTATTATAATTTATGATGATAACCTTTATTATTTTATTTTTGAAAATATAAATTTATTATATTATAAAAATATTATTTTATTAAATATTATTGTATAATCATATAAAAATATAGTATAGAAATAAGCGTTAGGATCGAGCGTTAACCACAGTTCTTTTTACTTAAGAGTAACGACTCAAACGTCACGATTCGACTCGACCACCCGATCTCCAGTCAAAGTATAATTGATGATACCAGTAACCATAAAAATATATAATAAAATATTTAAAAGCAACCTACTAATATATAAAATATGAGGAATGTTTGTTAAAACAGTATCAGTCAAACATGGTCTAATTATTATTCAAAGATACATAAAAGTCAATTATTGTGAAGACAAAATGAATGTTTATTTACAAAGTTATTGACTAGTCTTCATTGGTGCATGTGCATGTGATTGAATATAAATTTAGTCTTTCACAAATGCAAGGATGATTTTAAAATTATTATTATTAACATGTTTCATGAATCACACTAAAGGAATGAGTACCTTATTCAATTAGCTAAGTTCAAATTATAGGTTGTTCTGTCAGCATAGAATTTGCCGAGTTTGATATTATATTTTCAATAAAATATATTTTTGTTAAATAATATATGCATAGTATTATTATTACCATTAGTTTAAAATATATATGCACACAATGATAAAGAAATTAATTATCATTAAATATAAAAAATATATTGCACAATAACAAAGACAATTAATCATTACAGAATTACGATGTATCTAAGTTAACAATTGATTCATAAGAAAAAAAATAGTTGGATTTTCTAAAATAATATCTTTTGAGAGAATTGAGGAACTTTTCATTAAGAAAAAAAATCAAAATTAAATATTTTATAATTTGGTTTGCATTATTTTTATGATTTTATATTATAAAGTTATTAATATATTATAATAAAATAATTATTTAATAAAAATATATTATAAAAATCATACATAATTAATTATAATATTTATATTTTTAATTTTTTTCACTTATAATATAAAAAATCACAATATATATCATAAATTATAAAAAACTACTAATAAAAAGTATCTTATATTTTAATTTTAATAATATATTATAATTTTGATTTTGTTAATTTGATTTGATTCTTATTAAATCAAAAATCAAACTAATCAATTTTTAAATTTTTAATTAAAAATTTAATTTTCAGTTAATTTTTATATTTTTTTATTTTAATTTTGAATGGATTCAATTTAATCCCTCTAACTATAGTATATTTAAAATACTATACAATTTTATATGAACTCTATTCAAGAGTCAAATGTTTAATTATGATCATAGAAATAAAATAAAATAAAAACTTTAGAATGTTTTCACTATCTTCTTCTTTTCTGAATGAAATTGGTTACAAATTTTCTGTCCGAAGTTGTCATGAAATTAGATTTTTAAAAATTTCTGTGTTAACTTTTTAGCACAAATAGAACCGAAAACAATGTCTACAGGTTAGTGACAAATTTATTAGTTACATTAAAATTTCATGTTAAATTAGATATAGTAATATTATAATATATAAATAAATATAATTATCATTTTATAAAATTAAGTCAGATATTTTATCTATTTTTAAAATTTCTTTTTTATATTATTCTATTACAAAAATTATTTATGAAATATGTGTACTTATCTAACTAATACATAACATTGGTGAATTTGTTGTTTTATGACTTAACAAATTTCTAATTTATAGTTTTCTGCTCACAAAGTTGTTCTACAAATAATATATGACTCCAGAAAGTAATAGAATATGAAAACTAATTCTGAGTTTATTGTTGAGTGAATATATATATATATATATATATATATATATATATATATATATATATATATATATATATTCTTATGAAGATTGTATTTGTTAAAAGTTAAAACATTATCAGTCAAAAATGGTGTAATTATTTTTCAATGATCTAAAAAAGTCAACTATAGTGTACTGAGAAAAAAGAATTACAAAGTTACATGATGTGACTAAGGATTAATTTAATTCTTGCACGAATGGCAGGAATAATTTTACTATGATCAGGAAAGTGTGTCATGAGTCACACCATTATTAATACAAAAAATTGTGAGTACCTGTTTGATTAGATAAGTTTTTAGTAGAGAAATTCTTAAAAAAACCCTAATTGATTCTGAATGATAAGTTATGTTGATAAGGATGAATTTACATTAATTAATAAAAATGAGACATTGTGTTATGTTTTCCGGTTTAAGAAAATCAATACCTGTTCCCTTGTTGAGGACAACGAGAGTTGCTTTTAACACGTGATTTTGATTCATTTTATTTCTCCCCGACAAAAGAGACCAGATAAATATTTACTTTATCATGTCTATTCAATTAATTTACTTAATCTTACTAATTAGTTTACTTTTTTGTTTTTTCTTTTAATGATGCAACATTTATGCATTAATATGAATAATTAAATTAAAATCACTCTAATTAATTATACAAATCTATCTTTTTTGTAATTTCTATACTTTGAATACAGATTTGAATCCAGATTTGAGAATGGTTGATCCAACTCGATTTGACTCACCCCATCTATAATCTATAAATAATGAGATGAAATATAGACTTTACTCCGTCTAGGATCAAAACACTAATATCTTTTTATATATAAAATTTTTTATATTTATTTTTTAAAAATATATTTTATAGGAATAATTTTTAAAATTTTAAATTTTAATTAATATTTTATTAGATAAATTTAAAATATTTATATTTTATTATAATTAATAATTTAAATTTAATTAATTAATATTTATAATTTAAATTTAATTTATTAATATTTATAATTTAAATTATAATATCATAATATATTTATATTTTTTAATAATAACATAAAAAATATAATATTTTTAATTATATTTTTTTATTTTATTTTTAATATGTAATTTTTTATTTTATTTTTAATATGTAATTTTTTTAAGGTTAATTAGAAGGTCAGTATATCTCATCTCATCTTTATTTCGTTGAATTCACAAATTAGACCGGAAAATCAAAATGAACTTAAAACTAAAATTACAAATTTATCGGTTGTTAGTTCAACCCACTTTACCTAATCCATTTTATTACTATAATATATAAATAACAAAGAATATATATATATATAATATCATAAACTTATTAGATGAAGATGATATTTAATATTTTATAACTATTTTATATTTTATTCGGGGATATTTTTTTCCTATTTCTTTTTTAAATTTGTCAAAAACATGATATCTTCTCTTATATAACAATCTTGTATTTTTGCACCATTTTATTCTTAAAATTGTCCAAAACATGATATGATGAAAGCCAATGATTAGTTTTGGTGAAGGAATATAATATAAAGTGTAACAATTGTTTAATTCGATAAAGAAAAAAATAAGTCATAATTAATATAGTGATAATTAAGATATATTCTTATTTAAAAATCATATTAATATTATTTTTTAATGATTAATTAGTGATCTATTAATGAATATTTATTTTTTATTTTATTTCTTAAAATTATTTTATATAATAAAATAATATTTTAATTAATGATTATTGTTTTGTATAAAAATGAGAATGTTTTGGTCTTATCGTTGAAAGATATTTTCGTAAATAATAAAAAAATTATGTAAATAAATGATCTTCTGTTAGGAGTTTTGAGCTTATCGGAATAAGAAACATCAATTATTGTAACGTAAACCTTCAATATGTAGAGAAGGATTTGAGTGATTTCTTCATAGCACAGAACAACGAGCTACATGTTTAATTAACTGAGAGATTAACAAGTCCTTAATTCAAAATAATCAAAGTTGAAATTCTAACCGAAATGAAAGGAAAATTCAAACTATCACAAATCGTCATCACACGTTTCCAAACCCTGTTATTATATTGTCACCTAGTGTTTATGAAAAACTGCCACATGTTTGAGTTATTCATCTCTGCCAAGGACTCATCCTTACTCCGCTTTGCAGCCATTGATGACGATGACACATTCGATGATGAGAAAACATCAAAAGAGCGTTTCTTTAACGTAACCCTACTTGGCTCGGTATCATTGGAACCAATTAAATGAGGAAAATTCAGCTTTGCTTTCGAGCCATGCATTTTAAACGCTGCTCGATCATAAGCCAAAGCTGCATCTTCTGCAGTTTCGTAGGTTCCAAGCCACACTCTCACACCATTTCTCTTACCGTCTCTTATCTCCGCCGCGTACTTCCCCCACGGCCTCCTCCGTACACCGCGGTAGCTCAGCCCTCTCATTGGAGGCGCGTCAGTACTACCCGCGGCTTTAGTGATACCAGTTTGACCCTCATTTTCTACTTTCAAAGCCACGTTGCTCACCCCGTTTCCAGTGGCGGGGAACAATCCGGTGGTGGCGGCGGCCGCCTCACACAAAGCACCGTAGATAACCATGTCGTCGGCGTCATCCTCTTTCAACGGAAGCTCCTCCGAGTTCTCCGCCAACAAAATGCTCCGGAAGCATGACGGGGAGGCATCCTGAAACGACGTCGTTGCAGATATCTCAGAGAGGTCTAAGGCATTCACGTTGGTGTTTGAAGCATGTGGGTTCATCGTTCCGTACAAGTTTGATGTTTCGTTAATTAGTTTCTCGTAGGTTGTGAGTGTTGTGTCTAAGTTCGTGTTTGATTTATATAAGAAAAACTTGGATAGTGACGATTGATAAAAGCACTAGTATATATAATAATACTCAATTCAATTGGGGATTTATGTTTATACGGTGGTGTTTCTGGTGGAATTTCGATCGATTTCGATTCTAAGGGTGTTTTGGTCCTAATCAAAATTCTACCACGTAAGTTCTTTTTACTGAGGCTAGCAATTTGATTTTCAATCGAAAACGTGTATGAGAATCGAAAACTAGAAGTGTCAAGAAATCCTATTTTTAGTATTTTATGTTTAAAATGCTCGATTTCAACAAAGCAAGAAAGTATTGAATCGAGAAGAGAGAATATTAAATTGCAAGAAGGTCGAAAACCCCAAAGGGCATTAACTTTAAATGACTAAGAATCGGAAACAGTGAAAACGTAAATGACCAGAAATTAAGTTTGCAAGAGAAATAAAGGACAAGAAATCGAAATGTGCGGGAAATGTAAATTGCTAAAACCCATTAAAATTGCACAGTAAAGTAAATAACAGAAATCGAAATGTGCTGAAAATGTAAATTGCTAAAACCCATTAAAATTGCACGTAAAGTAAATAACAGAAATCGAAATGTGCGAAAATGTAAATTGCTAAAACCCATTAAAATTGCACGTAAAGTAAATAACAGAAATCGAAATGTGCGAAAATGTAAATTGCTAAAACCCATTAAAATTGCAAGTAAATAACGAAATGTGGAAAATGTAAATTGCTAAAACCCATTAAAATTGCATAAAGAAATCGAAATGTGCGAAAATGTAAATTGCTAAAACCCATTAAAATTGCACGTAAAGTAAATAACGGAAATCGAAATGTGCGAAAATGTAAATTGCTAAAACCCATTAAAATTGCACGTAAAGTAAATAACAGGAAATCGAAATGTCATTGAATGTAATCTACAAGAATATGAAATTGTCGAATTGAAATGGCTCGAAAGTAAATTACCAAGGAAAATAAAGAAAGCGATAAATGTACTCCGTGAGCAAGGAAATCCGCATTGCCGTAAGCTTCATGGTGTTCGTCGTTTCTCCGTAGACTTTTCACTACCGATTCTCGTTCTCCGCCAATTTCCGCTCCCTCGTTTCTCCTTTCTTTGTTCTATTTATGTGGCGTTGTTCAAGCCTTCTAAGAGCAGCTTAACGAGACCGCTACCACGTTCTTCGTGCGTATGACAGCTTTCTTTTACAGCTTTTCCCATGTTCTCACGATCTTCAACTTTTCCATCACTTAGAAACCGCTTCAAGACGTGCGCTTTGACTACTTTCTTTCAAGGTTTAGCCAAGGTTATGATATCTACGAAAACGAGCCTTCCCTTTGATTTAATCGAGAACTTTGCATACCTGGTATCGATTTATTTTAACCTTAACTCCATGTTAAGCTTTTCGACTATTACGCCTACTCTTCCAATTTTACCTTTCGATTTTATGTGTCACGTTCTTTATAATCTGACATCGTGAAAGTTCCCTTTCGATTCATTTCTCGATCGACTTCTCGATTCCACACTATGACTTAGTCTTTATTTGGCAACAACTCGCTCATTTCTCGATTGTGCTTCTCGATGTTATATGCTACGTGTTTCAATTTGGACATCGAATGAATATTTGTTTATCTTATCGAGTCATATTTCTTTTCCCTTCGATTCCGATCGTGTTTCTCGATTTGCTACTAACAAATGCCCCCTTGAAAGAATATGAATAATTTCAGCTTATATTCTTTCAATATTCCCGCTTTAATGTTCTGGAGGTCCATAGAACTTTAGTGGTTTAGTGGTTTCGGGGTTCTAGGTTTAAAAGGGTTTTAGGTTTCCTTTCCGTCTTTACGTCGCTATCATATCACCGTTGCTTTCACAAGACGTCGCATTTATTACCTTTCACCTCCGTCGTTCCATCTCCCTATACGATTTCCTTTTAACCTCTCAACCTATCTTTACTCCGGCTTTACGCGAACTTTTATCCTCTACCGAAAACTTGTCTTCTTCCCTAAGCTCCCGCCTTCGTTTCGTTACCTTACCCGTCACCTTCTTTATTATTTCTCTAATCTTACTATAATGGCCTCTTCATCTAAGTCATCTCGATTTCTGCTCCTCCTCTTACCTCATCTACTTCTACCTTGCCGGAAATTAACAACCAGCTAGCTTGCTCCCTTGCCTTTAATGGAAGAGGCCTCTAAAAGGATTGTCGAAACTCGTGTATTAGTTCCTTACACTCGTTGGTGGGGTTGGTTTTGGTTTTGGGGGCCCCATTCTTTCTGATAGTGGAACCGTTTCTCCCTCACCCTCTCAAGCGCCCTCGCTCTAGTTCATCACCCGAAGTTAGGATCGATTTTTTGAATTTTGTTTCCAAGGTGTATAGGACAGGTCCTCCCTCCAAAAAATCTTTGTTCACTCGATGGTTTGATGTGGTCAAGGCTAAATTCTGGGACCATTGGAAGAATGTGGGGTTTATGATTTTCTACATTTATCTCAATGTGATTTATCCTACCTCGATATGGCTATGTTCCCGGTCGCCGTGCACCTATGGAATAAAGAGATACATGCATTGGAATTACCTCGTGGCCCCCTCTCACCTACTCTTCTCGATGTTGCACCCATCACCGGGTTGAAACCTATAGGGGAAAGATATTTTCGTGGTGCGTGTCCTTCGGATAATTCGTTGAAGTCAAAAATCGATTGGGAATCGAAGGCCTACGGCATTTCATCGAGAAGCATTTCGTTGATGATCCCTCGATAGATGTCACCGATGAAGAACATGTAGCGTTTTTGGTGTATTGGTCGTGCACCCATGTGTTTTGCCCCCGATCGATCCAAATTTCCCTCATCTCTTCAATCTTGCTTATCTCCTTCACTTAGGTCAACCCCGCCTATGTTTGGCCAAGCTTTTGCTAGCACATGTATATACCGCTTTCGACGAGGTCGTCGAAATTTTAAATACTCCTAAGGCATCTGGGAATTTTTCCGGCCCCGTTTGGTTCATACAGCCTATGGTTAACATCCGTTTTGAGAGTGTCCTTCCTCGATATTCTACCGTCCCCCTAAGTGTAAATATAGAAGTGGGCTCGATTATCCTCCCGTCACCCTCGCTATAACTCGACGAAGCCACATATTGTAAATATCTCCAATTTTTGTTAACCAGATTTGTTTTCGATTCAACCTTAGCCCCTTTTATCGTAAATTTTGAGCGAGTAAGTGACCAACTTAGGGGACCGATCTCGGTTCAAGTCAAGATTTCCCGCCTCAACCCCCGGGTTACAATTAGAACCGATCGATATATGGAGTGGCTACTTGACCCATGATGTGCTAGTATCGTGTTTCCACCCCAGTGGATTTCAAGTTCGTTATTTACTACCCCCAGCCTTTTTCCGCATAGCTTGGCCTCGAGCCGCTCTTTACCCTTTTTCCCTTTAAGTTCCTTCCCTAAATCCAAATTGATCGAATCGAACATCTGCCGAGAGCTTGCTAAATTTTTGCCAAGACCCTCGATGCATTTTTATCCATATGCATTTGAGTCAAATTACTTATCGACCGTGGAATTTTCTCAATGGTGGACTAATTGGTTTTCAAGTAATCGTGCTATTTTTGATGAGGTTCGACGTAGACCGATCGCTCATCCTTCTCTTGTGTTGCAGACAAGTCAAAAGGGAAGAAAGGTACACACTTCCACCGTCTCCAAATATCTCGATTCGAGAATTTTTATCAAATATGTTATACTCCACTAAAACTAGAATCGACCTTTTATGATGTCGTCATTTCTTTATCCCGAAAAACAGTATACCAATAGATCGAACCACAAAATAATTAATCCCTTAGGAAAACCCCTTTCGAAATGTATTGTCCTACTCACCTTCCCACTTTTCCTACAAAGACCTTTGGACTCGCAAAACCTTTAACTCATCCCAAATGGGTTCGAGAATTGAGAACCCTTAGAGAAACCCGTCGCCCAAAACCCAAAAACAAAGACATTTCGTATCGAAATTGTTTTACTTTCCTTACCTTAACCTCCCCGAAGCTCTCCCGCCTCCTTGGCTAGTACATATTGATCGAGTCAAAATTTTGACTCCATCACCTTTTGGTGAGGTTTTATTGTTTTCTCTCGCTTCGATCTCGTGTTTTGGAAACCGACTATCTTCATTCTTTGGCGCTTCAAAATCTACTAAGGTGGTTGCCTTCGAGAAGGCACAAGAGGAAGGAAAGGACGCAAGCCGGGAGTCCCTGCATGAATCGACCCTCCGGCCTTCACCAGAAACGAAAACAATCGGCCACCACTACTTCATCTTCGAAAAATCGAAGGTTCTTTTCGATCTCTTTGTCTCATCCATTCTTCTGTTTATAACATGTTTCCCTATGGAGCCTCAAACCTCTTTTCGATTTCTACCCTACGTAAAAAATCGAAGAGTCCCCGATCGATCCAACCATCCACAAGCAGATCCATTGTCGATGGATTCGAACACCGTTCCTTCTACGGTCAAACAACGCCCGTCACCCATTCCAACTATGTGAGTTTTCTTTTCCTCTACCTTTCATGTCTTAGATTTTGTTAAGACTTGTATCATGACTTATATTTTCGATAAATTTTCTAGGATAATCCATCTAGTGATCGTATCGACTACCGTCGAAACTCGCCTCAGCTCTTCAACACCAATTCCCGAGGTATAATTCTATTTTACTTGTGTATACCTCTTTTGACTTGCCTATTTTTTTCTTTTTCCTAACTCTCTTTTTTGATTTACAAGCAATCCGAGGCCGTACAGTAGTCCTCCTCGTGCTTCGACGCCGCTTGCTCTTCCTCCACCCGGTATTTTCTTTCTTCTTATGTCATTTCGATTCTTTATTTTATCCTTTATATAACTTTAACTCATTTTTCAACTTGTTTTCTTTTTCAGCAATTATTCCCACTGTCCAAATCCCGCACTCCCCATCT